GAAGCCAGGACCCTCGCCCTTACCCTCACCCCCTACCTTTCCCCACCTGCACAATGTCCTCTGAAGCTTGGCAACTGCAAGATCCTGCTTAGCAACTGCAGATAGACTCAAAGCAGTGTACCATATCATCTTAAGAATAGCAGGGAGACCATAACTCAAGCAGTGTACCATATCTTCTGAAGAACAGCAGGTAGATCATAATTCAAGGCAGTGTACCATATAGACCATGACATGTTTCAAGGCACAGGCCAAGAAGATTTTGTACTTTTCCACCATCTGGCCCCTCTTACCCCCTCCCCTTGTGAAACATGCTATAAAAAAGCATTTCATGTTCAAAAATAAATAAATTATTTATATAAAAAAAAAGAGATATGAATTGGAAATGAAAAAAAAAAAAAAAGAATAAAATACAAAAGCTTGGAGGTAGTGGTGCATTCCTTTAATCCCAGTACTCTGGAGGCAGATCTCTAAGTTTGAGGCCAGCCTGGTCTATGGAGTGAGTTCCAGGACGACAGGGCTACACAGAGAAACCCTGTCTCCAAAAACCAAAACAGAAGAATAAAGCACACGTGATATGATGCACTGGTTGTACCTTTATTATTTTACCTCGTTCACTAGCAGTTCTGTGATGCAAGGTCACCATACACAGTTAGATAATGTCTGCGTTACACATCTAGGGCTATACAGCAAAAGAATCAGGATTAGTACAAATACAAGAACTGTATTTACATTTTGTATACTTAAGCTCCAAACATTAGATATTTACAAAATAAAACATGAAAATGAAATCCAAAATTAATAATGTACATTGTTGCTTGTGCTCAACTCCTTCCCTGGGGAGAGATCAGTTTGCAAAGTCTTGGTTCAAAAAGGCCACTTATGCTTCATGGATTCTGTTATAGCATGGGGATGATGACAAGAGACTCCACTCTCAACAGACAAGGATGTTAGAGCCACACAGTCTACGACAATGCTTAAACATGAGGAGGCTGGTGGATCCCTTAGGTGAACTGATGCCAGAATACACAGCATGAAAAGAATCAATTAAAGACATGACAACATGTAACATCCAGGATTTGGCACAAGACCAACCTGTGCCTGGCCTTTCTGTCCGAGCAGCTGTCTACCGTGAGGCTTCCTGTCTGACCTGCAGTCCCGGGATTGAACCAAAGGCATCACATATCATTGCCAAGTGCTCTACCACTAAGCAACGCCCCTAACTTCTGGCTGTGAGGTTTTATCACCAGTTCTGTATCAACTCTTAATTTCTTTCTTAAGAAAGAAATTTCTTAAATTTCTTTTTTTAAGTAATTAGGGGTTCTCTTAAGATTTTTTTTTTAGAGCTCAAATATCTACTTCATAAATGGCCTTTTGAACAGTAACAATAAATCTCTCAGCTGACGATCTCTGACTTGCTCCATGGTTGTGGACGTACTCACTCTCGGTGGTTCACAGGTCACGGTGGATGGCTGCAGTACACAGCGCCAGAGTTTCACTCAAATGCATTCAGCAGATCTTCCAAGAGCAGCAACAGAATTATTCCTTTCTTCTCATGGAGCAAGTTAAAGATTACATTTTCCAAAAGGAACCCAAATGAAAAGTGATGGACCCACGCTAAACAAACCACACAGCCCTGGTATTGTTCCAAAGAGCGAAAGCACAGTACCCACGAGGAAAATGCAAGAGTCCCAGCAGGAGCCACACAGGGCAGGACCTTCCCCTTTCAGTCCAATATGCAATTCATTACAGCTGTATAAATATACAAATACCTTACAAAATTAAATATCCCTGTAAATTAGACAAGAAGCAGCAGGTAACAAGGTCTATGCTTTGAAATATGTGCCAGGAAATATCATGATTTTAGACCCCAAACACCTTTCACAACCATTCATTCCTTCATCTAAACATGATAAAAAAAATTTGAAGAATTAATAGGTATATAAATTCCACACAGCTGAAGGGAAAAAAAAATAGTTTCTCAGCTGAGGAACCTTCAGCTCTAACCTCACCAAGCTTCTCATTTTCGGATGGAGATCAGGGGCCCGCTCAGCAGCAGTCTGGCCTGTGCTCCTGCCTGACCTTGTGCAGGACTGCCTGGTTCCTGCAGAGTCTGGGACTGAGAGCTGGCTGACTCCCAGGGTAGTCTCCCAGACGCAGGCAAGGCCTGAGCACTGGCGGGGACAGTTATGAGGCTCTATTTGCTTGGGAGGAAGGAGGATAAAGATAAAGGGGGAGGCTAATTCGTTTTAACCAGCACTCACTTTTCTGTAATTTATATGTTTTCCTTGTAGGTGTTTTGTTTAAAGGAGTGTTTTGAAAAATTAAAAAAAAAACGTTAAAAATAGTTTCCTTAAAGGTTAGTTGTCTTAACTTTCCTGCTACGATGGCAACCACAAAACTCCCATGTCTTGCCATGAAACCCTTTCTCTTTCAGAGCTTCGAAGCAGAAGTGACCTTGTCTGGAAACAGAACATAAAGCCCCAAATGCTCGAAGTCTGATCTGATCATGGGCCTTACAGTAAGAGGGGTCCCAACAGCGACAGGTAGAGGCGCAAGTGCCCAAACTCCAACCTTACTTCCCCTGGCTTCCTAAGGAGGCCTCCTTATGGGGGCCTCTGATGAAGGAGCAGTCCAGTTTGGCTCAGGCTAACATTTGATATTTGCAAAGCAAAGACTTTTTAAACCAGTTTTGTTTGAGTTAAAACACAAGTCATCGCAGGGTTTAGTGTACCGCACAATGTCACCCTCCCTCAGGTGTCACACCTCTCGTCACAGACACGGATCCTTCCTAACAGCAGTGACATCAGTGATTCAGTTTAAACGTGACCTTGGATCTTCATTTCCCTGAAATTAGATTTAGTTCTGGTCCAGGAAACTGTCTACAAGCATCGACAGAGCCTGCTGAATTTGAGTATACACCAGAAGGACATGCTGTGCCCATTAGACAACAGAGACTTCTAACTACATTAAAAATCTCATATATATGCTTAGAAAACAAGTAACATTACAGTTAGTAACCTATACTTTAAGGAGAGAAAGAAAGTTTTAAAAATCTACCAGAGTTGATCATCTTTTGGATAAGAACAGTCTGACTTCTGCCCTTTCTTTTCTCCATGGTCCACTCTTCCTTTTCTTTGCAAGGCAACTGTAATAAAAGAAGCTGGGAGTCCTGTTCTTCAGAGAGAAGCCCTGCTGAGAGGTCAGAAGCAAGGGGCTGCATGCTCACCTCCCTAGTGCCTGCTCTGCCGTGGAGATGAGCTCCTGACCAGAAGGAAATCCATTCCTTCTCTACCCTCAGGTAACCAGGAACCTTCCCAGAATGGAGATGAGCAGATGCCTTCCTGGGTGCGTGAGTGATGCTGAAACAGGGTGGCGAGACCAGTAAACAGCAGTGTGAATGAGCCCCAAGTCACTGGCCCAGCAACTGAAGTAGCCCCCGTAGGCATTCTGTGCCCTGCTCAGTCCCCAACACTTACTGGCAGGTAGAGGAAAAGTGTTATTTTCTATGATAACCTCTTGAACCCAGAGACCTGGTTTGTTAGAAGCCACAGAAACTGGTAGCAGTGAATTCTTCCTAAGGGAGTATTTCCAAACTACACGGAGACAGTGGGGGGGGGGGGGGCATGTCACGATCCAGTAGCAAACTACAGGGCAGCTGGGAGACAATCTTTTCGACCCTAAATGTCTTCTGATTTGTTTGGAATGGTGGTGGGGACTGGTCAGTTCTGGCATCCAGAAAACAGTGCCATGTTTGTTCAGATGGAGACAAGTATTATTGGAAATGGCCACTGGATTTAGATGGAGACCTCAAAGTTTATGCTGAAGCTAAAGTCTTTGATCAAAGGGAACTACAACAACCACAAGGTGCACTCAGCACTCTCAAAGCAACAATGGTCCCGTCTATCATCAGAAAGTCAAACACTCCCCAATCCCTCTTGTGGGAAATCTGTTCATGACATCACATAATTCCAAACAGTAATGCTGAGGAGAGGGTTGGGAAACTCCCAGACAAGAGCCTCCTTCCCAGTGAGGAGATGAGTTTTCAGGATCCTGCTGTGAGGAACTACAGTCAGCCTTTAACTATCACCCTCATGACCCACTGCCCAATCTACTGCAGTAGCCTGAGCCTTAAAGGGCCAGCAGCAGCCGTGGTTCCAGGCCAATCACAGAAGCCCCTCTGCATTTTCCACTCTATAAATCCATGCTCCGAGCCCTGACTTAGACAGAGAATATAAATCCTATTTCTGAGCTTCCCACAGTGCTTTCCCTGAATGGAAACCCAAGGATTAGCCGAGAGAGAGAGAGAGAGAGAGAGAGAGAGAGAAGAAGAAGGAGGAGGAGGAGGAGGAGGAGGAGGAGGAGGAGGAGGAGGAGGAG